TCTTCTTTTTTTTAGTTATCAGACAAGTAGATTTACGATTAGTTTTTACGTTCCCTGTGTATATATATTGTGTGATTTATATTTTATATTTAATATCTCCTGTAATTGAGTCATGTTACCTGTTAGAAATAAAGTGCTATTATTATTATTATTTTATTAGAGTAGGACGACTTATGACGCGCCAATGGTGGTCGTAATTGGAGTGGGGAAAAACCTATTTTTTCAATTTTCGGCCTTTTTGACAATTGTCCAACTTTATTATTTATTGAAATTTTGGATTCTAATAAAAACATTATTAGGTCATTTTTTTAAGGTAAATGCAGTTGCGTATTCAGATTTTTTTCTGCAGTTCTCCGCTTTCTCATAAATATAGGGCAATCATAGTTGAATATGGACTCCAAAAAAATGCTCGTGTCGAGCCCTTTTCAGATATATAGATTTGTTGATATCTGTGGTGGGGAATTATAGGCCATTTTGTTTATATGTATTAGTAAGACGTATATATAGTTGTCAATATCAGTTAAGGACATAATTTGTATTCTTTATTGAATTTTGTGTTCGGTCACACATCATTTTAGTGGCCCAACTAGGTCATTTAGCAATTTAAAATGTACAAAAATTATGAAAAGTAAAAATAAAAGAACATTTTAAATTGTTCATTGTTTGGAGTGATGAACCGAGACTGTAAAACTTACTGCTTTTAGCCGTATTGCATAGACGTAGATAGTTGGCAAGTGTCCGGAGAGTGGCAGTTGGTGTTTCAAATTAGGCAGTTATTGGAAGAGTTGTCATGTGTGTGTTCGAATATGACTTGAGTTGGAGAGTCGACTTGTGTACAAGGATAAACGCGGCCTCATCAAATCACCGAAGAGAAGTACAGGTAGAAAAGAAATTGTAATAAATGGAGATGAAAAACTGCAATCATAAGAATAATATACTTATATTATATATACTTATACCTATATAATATACCTTGCACAAAATAGTATCGGACATGAAAATGGATTATTTCATTCTACCAATGAGTAAGAAGAACTTTGAAGGAAATGAATTTTCGTTACGAAACAACTTAAACCAGAAAATCACTTTTAATAGAGAAACAAAGAAGAAAGAAGAGATATTAGAGAGCAAATATCAACGCATTAAAAAAAAATGACGGCATTCATTGACTTACTTTAAGTAAGAAACAGTTTCAGAAAGATATGTTCTTTGTACAGAGTGGGCGGTTTAAGAGAGACCTATACCCTATCACAAAATCTAAAATAAAGTTTGAATACAAAAGATATTTCCACTAAAATTATCTTTAATTTTTTGTATTATTTCTATTGTCAATCAATTCCATACATAGTGGCGGTGTTGGGGCTGGTCAATTGACCACTTCTTAATTGAAAAGTCAAAAAATGTTCCCAGAATAAATATAAATATAAATTTCATCATAATTTTAAATTTTTGTAGGTCAATTGACCGATCAACGGACACAAAAAAATTTGACCGGCCAATTCCACAACCCAACATAGTGGCCAAATAAAGTTACATTTTTTAGTACCCTTTTATAATATGAATCCAACCATATATATAAATATCTATTGATCGGTCTCTAAAACACAGTTATTACCTAATATTCAGAATATATTCAAAATTGAAATATTTTTATCACACACGCAGTAGTGGGATTTTTCGCAAAGTTTTATATTTTATTGGTTAATTGCATCCCGAATTTTTGTTGTTGTAATGCAAAAACTTCTATTGCCTTATCTTTATATACGATTTCTTTTAAAGTAGCCCACGAAAAACAATCCAGTGGGTTTAAATCTGGTACCAGACCTACCTACAATATGAAGTGCTATTTTGCCCAATCCATTGTATTAAATGTAATTTAAAATTTATTGATATCCATAGTGCGATAAGCAGCGTCATCATGTTGCCAATTTAAATTTGGATGTTCTATTTATTGAATAGTATAATATTAAGGGTTGTTCTCTTTCCTTCCAGATCTGAAGCTGCTAGACGGGTGGAGGTTTCTAACTAAACAAAACTATTTTCTAATAAAGAATTTTTGTTATATTTACGCGATGTGGAATACCCGGAAATTTCATAGAAAAATATGCTAAGAAAATGAACTGATAACAATCGTAAATAAATTCATGTTTCGTATTCATATCGTTCGATTCGTAGCTATCATAAAATGCAAAAATATACCGGGTGTTTGAATAAAAAAACTGAGAGAAGTAAGCCTTGGTACTGCAAATGGAAACAACCCCGATTAGTTTTAAAACTAAAAATCAAGAGGAAGACCAAGATTTGCTTGAAATGACAAGTGTAAACTAACCAACCAAACAAGGTTATTCTAAAGCTCTCCATTTGAGAGGCAGCAGCATGATAAAAATGCTGCGCCCATATATAATTCATGTAGCTGAAGAATTATGTCTTATTAGAATGCTATAGCTCGCAAAAAATTAAGTAATACGTGTGAAATTTTCTGCAACACACTAAACTTTCGCGTTAATTAAGTTCATTTTGTTAAAACTGTTGGTCCCCGTTTGGCCGTATCAATTAAATAGGGAAAATAGAGTTTTTATAGAATTCCTGCTCGTTGATAAAAAACAGCAACAGTCTCATATTCGCATATTAACATGCTGTTAAAGGAAACGCTAGAACAGAAACGAAATAAATTTATGTGGTGTGTTATTTTATACACTATAGGTATTCCACACTCATTTGTGTATTACGAATAATATGAAAGAAGGTTATGTAGACTAACAAGAATATATTTAGTCTAGGAATAAGAATCAGAAAAATGAATTATGCTGGGTTTAATCCTAAAAGCTAGTGTATAGGTATTAGATAAAATAAACTTTAGTATTGCAGGAGTTGCGTGGAAGTGTAAATATTTTTCTTGCATTCAGTGGCACGAAATAAATGTGTTTGCACAAGCGTTAGGCATTTTTCAAGGTCCACTGAATAACAAGTGCATCTGCATGAAGTGAAATAAACAACGCGAACTGATAAATATTTTTTATGGCCGTTTTATGTTTACAGCAGATCTCTGCATTATCGATGCTCCCAAAAACCAATACTCGGTTAAAACCCGCGACATGTGAAAGCAAGTTAGTTTCTAATGAACAGTTTAGTGGGCTAGTACAATAACTTGCTTTAAACATTAATGTTAAATCGAAATAGGCAAAGAAATTAAAGTACACAGCCACCAGAACGCTTTCATGTTTTTTTTTTATATTTCGTTATATTTAATAGGCAAAATCATTAATTTAAACTATTTTTTCTTATTTGATAAAAAAAAATTAAGATTAACAGTCACGCGTAATGAGAAATAAGCATATTTCCTACAAAACTAAAGCGATTTTTAAAATTTAATATAGAGAATTAAAATGCCTCTCGAAAGAGTTATTTCCTTCCCTAGTTAAAAATGTTGAGGTTACGTAAAATATTTGACGTTAGGTTAGTTTAACATAACTGTCACTTCACTGGGATATATATTGGGGATATACATTTGTTATCTTGAATTTTAAAACTCGGTTCCTACAAAAATTTCTACCGTTACTCATAGTTAAAGTGCGAACTAGTTTAAAGCTCTATCTGGTGGCAAGCAAGCAATTTCCCAAATTCTTAACGTACATTAATAAACTTGGAGTCATTAAAAAAGTCTGTTCCTAGGCTATCAAGAGTGATATAAGTGACTCGTTTTTGGTTGCTTATTGCTTATACTATGCCATCAGGTAAATTTTTCTGATATAATCAAACAAAAAACTTTCTGAAAAAAGAATAAATGCAACTATGTATGTATATGAGTTTCTTTAACGTGTTAAATAGTCAAATAAGGGCCTAACAAACTAGTGAAAACCACATCCCAATATCTTTGGCCTAATCTAAAATCTGAATATAAGAATTAGACGCTCAAAAAAAGTTGGATTCTGAAAAAACATTAAACTTTATTAATTATTATTTATGCAATTAATGTTTATTTTTTTTACATTTGCTTTGAAGGGCACCCAAATTGTTGACATTTTTATTTTTTGACATGCTTGACTGATTTCAAATATCACTTATTTTTCCATTAAAAATTACGCTTAATCACTAACTGGATCACTAATCAATGGTTGAAGACTAAGTTTATTTAGTATTGATGTACTTACATAGTAAAACGTAGAAAACCATTTAAAAAATGAATAAAACATCTTTTTTGAGAGAAATAATTCATTTATGACGATCAAGATTGTCATGAAAATAAATTTATGTTTTATCCGACCTAGCGCTCGCATTCTTCATGTCGTTATTTGATGCTTGTCAAAGCTTCTCGATTTCCTACCCTAAAATTGTTTTATTTAACATCATAGTAATCCAGTGCCTAGAAAAAATCGACGTGGTAAAAGAAAAAAAGCCGGATTATTTCAGTACAGATTTAATAATTAAATAATTTAATAACATATAAAAAAATTCATTTGTCTTTAACAATTAATTATTTTGGTTAGTTGACTAAACCTAATTATTAATGGAGGAAAGGTGAAGATACTGAATATTTGGCAACTGCTACGTAAGTCAAAACCTAGAAATGTCAGAGTATTACTTGGTATAATTAGACATTAATAATAACTCGTAAACTGTATTTTAACCCAAAAAACAACTTTTTTTAAGTTCTTGTATTTATTAAGATAAAGATACTGTTAAGCGTTTTTCGCTGGGTTGTTGGGTCCTTATTGGACTATCCTAATGACGTAAAAAAATCATATTGTTGCATTTATTCCTTAGATTATTTTTGCGATGATATTACCTGATGGTAAGCAATAACAATCGCGTCAGTTTTTTACTTAAATGGAGATATGAACATTTAGTTAAGAAAATATTCGAACACCTCTTTCCACTATCCTTGGAAAGATAGAGCAAAAAGGAATAAACAAAAAAGATTTTAATTTTCCTAACTAAAACTAATACCGCACCTCGTTGCCGTTACTTGCCCACTCTGTGTATTAATAGGAGTCTCTTACCTAGCATCTTGACGACTCTCCGCGACGACTTGCAGATGTCTTTAGCGCCGACGTTTCGCATTTTCATCATCCTTGAAGACCTGAGGGTGGATCCGATCAACACGTACAAAACGGTGATCAGAGTCATCGGCGTCACAAAAAACACAAACGTCGAAATTTCGAATGAGTGATCCATGACCGGCCGGGTGGGTAGACAGTGGGGGCACGTCCCGTCTACTTTGAGGGCCAGGGCTTGAGGTATCGCGAAACTTATAGCGACCTGCAATAAAAATAAAAACAAGATGAAAAACAATCTAACTAAACAGGAACTTTTAATTTCATCACATTATTTTTAAATGAGTAAAAGTTGCAAACTAATAGTCTGGTCAACATGTACCATTTTTTCTAAAATTTTTGTATAGCCTCCGAAAATTATGATTATGGTGTCATTCGATTCGGAAAATTATGTAGAAAGTTTAACGAAAGGTTCCAAAAAGGGCTGAAAAAAATTGCAAAAGTTATAAACAATTAAGTGGAAAAAAGGTTTGTTTTTTTTGAATATATCGAAAAATAATGAAAATTTTGGAAATGTTAAAAAAGATCTGAAAAGATCAGCAAATTTGCTAAAAACAAGTCCCTACTCCCGGAACTGTACCTAAAATATTTATAATTTTTATGGAGCCCTGAAAAATGAGCGAAAACCGGGTGGTCTGGCTTCCGCACGTGTTGCGCTACTCTGACACAATAACAACAAAAATTATTTAAACATATTAAATATGAATATTAAGGAATAAAAAAATTAATGTAGCATATGAATACATAAATTAACAATAATCCGCGACAAAAAATTTTTTTATTCCAATTTGTTCATAAATTATGGATGTGTTAATTGTTTATGAGCGAATCAGAAAAATTTGTTTGGTCATCTATCTATTGATACAAATTATGATTTCTAGAGAAAAAATGGTTCCTTCAAAAAATGTATTTGTTGCTAAAAAATGGTTTTGTTGAAAAAAAACCATCACAAATCAAAACATTACAGATGTCAACAAAAAAAAAATTATAAACTTTTTTTTATTTTTTTATTTTCGATTGTTAATAAAAAAATTAAAAATCAAAATTTTAAAATTTTTACAAATGTGATCTACTTGCAAGACTAATACCAATAACTCCACGAAGTGCAAAAATTCGTAAGGCTTTTGTTTAATAATTATCGAGGTTTTTATCTTCACTTTGAATTTGAAAAAAATGTTGGTCAGAGCAGGCAATACACGGAATATATCTGAGTAGTTCGGACACCAAAAACATCCATAGGGTATTCAAGACCGAGTAATCAAAGCAAAAAACTATGAAAAGTATTGCCTAGAAATCATTGTGGAGGACAGATGTAAGAAATGTGATGATCATGACGGGCTATCAAATGCTTGCAAATAACTGGCAACTTGGCAACTGGCCAAGATAATATATCAACAACCGACTCTTAAAAATGAACTGCTGCAGACATGCCCCCCTTATTATAAATACCTGCCTCAACCAATACCAAAACTAGCCAACCTTCCCCGTGTTGGAGGCTCTCATAGTGGTCCAATGGTCTACTGGGATCGCCCTATAACAACAGACGGGACTGTCGACTGCAACAGACTGGATATAGCGCTCATTGACAAATGAAAAAAAAATTGAACTTAAATAGATATTGTGGAAGTGAAAGCAAAAAAGGGTAGGAAATGTGAAAACTTAGATATCTAAATTTAACATGTTTGGCAGTTGCTTCGAGTGATCAGCATACCTACCATTCGAAATCTCGGCGAATATCAGAGCAAAAATAAATAATAACAATAATAATATATTCATATTAATAAGCCCATCATGGCTACACAAGTCAAATATCAAACATATATAAATACGAAATAAAATAAAATAAAACAAAATCTTAAAATATTAATAAAATTTTGCTATTTTAATTGCGCACTCGACATACCCATACCCACAGATTAAAATTGAATAACATAATATACCTGCTTTTAGAACTAATTCCAAAGAGTTGATTACTATTCCATATTATATAACCGAGGTCTCGCAATGGTCTGTGGATATTTAAAACATCATGGTCCAGAAAAGTTAGTTGAATCTTCAGTTCGAAATCTTTAATGTTTGGAACAACTTCGATTTCAGCTTCCTTACTGCTACGGCACTTTTCGACGTTCCATAATGAGATTTCCAAGAAACCCCGAGAAAACTTTAATTTGATTGGAAATAGATTAGTAGAGTTTGATGAGGGAAAAAAATTCTTGCGTAACTTAAGGAGCTTTGCTTTTCTATTTTTTTTTTCAAATTATTATCATCGACCATAATTTTGTGCATTTCTTTCATGCAATTTGTTCTACGATTTTATTCCTGTATAATTTGAGTCTTACAAAAGCGCGAATTTCGAAAAAAAAAACAGAATTTATGACTTAAAGTCAAAATTAAAGTAACGAAAACATTCGATTTGCTATTTGAAAGGACAGTTGGTTAGTTTTGGTTTGGATTGGATTGTCAAATGTTTCACAATTGTCATACTTAGCAAACTTGTATTTTTTCTTATAAAGCACCATACATTTTTTTTCTATTTTACCAAATATCTTTGTATATTTTTCTGGATGAATCTTTCCCTTGTTTTAAGATTGATATCGCAGCAATAAAATAAGCAATGCGGTCTTTATTAACGGGTCTCATGAAAAAGATCACGCAAAAATGAAAAGCCGTAAAGCTCAATTATAAGAGTGAAAACAGAAGAATAATTGAGAAATTCTAAATTGTTTTTCAGAAATTCTGACTTTTTTCTCAAAAATTCTAATTTAAGTTAGATGTGTTTATTCGCGTTTTGGAAAAATTAAAACGTATTTTTCAGTTTCACTCACTTTCGCAGTTTTCTATACTTGTTGCAACTATTTTAAGTGCTACCAATTTATCTTTGTGTAAAGTTTCCTCTCCTGACTAATTAAATACCACTTTAACGAATGAACTTCGTTTCCTTTTCTTCTTTTAAACAACAAAAAAATTCGAAATTAATGACACCTCCATGTCCTCTCAGCCATTCATTAACCGTTCCTAACTGAGACGTCGACTTCCAAGAAAATTCTATTAACACCGCGGCAATAAAAAAAAAGAAATGGAACTCGGCCACTTCGAGAGATGTGTTTTTCCGTTTTTGTCAGCTAATTTAAAGCGACCCCTCCCCCGCATTTATTCCTGACAAACGGGGGTCTAATTTAAAATTAATTTCCAAACATTCCGATATCGGACGACCTTTTATAATTTTATTAATGCCTTATCGGGACAAAAACGGACCCTTAACGTAAAACTAATTTTTTATTTAACGATTTCTGCGCCGAGATTTGCTCGAGCGGCAATTATTAAACTTGGTCTAATTTATGGGGGGATAAATTTGAAAACACGACAGGGACCCTGAAGCCGAAAATAACGTTAGCGCGTTTTGGGACTTAAAAACATCTGGATAATGGAAATAAAAACCATTGGGCAAAGATAATTTGCATTATTCCTCTTAATATATTTTTTTAAATTTTGATTAATATTAACTAATAACACCTTTTCTCGGCGGCTAAAATACTTTTCTCTAATTAATAATTCATCAAATTCTTTATATAATATAAATTCATGTATGGTTAAGTAAACTTGCGTCCATAGAAATGGGCCCATTTTGAACTTTTGAATTCATTTTCATATTAAATTGTTTTCCAGATAGCATGTTTATGACATCGCCATTTGTAAACTTTACCTCCTCATTTTCTCTGGCATTTTAGAGAAAATTGTGGTACATTTTTATATAGTTTATTAGGTAAGTTAGTACAGGGTGGTTCATTTAAGATACTCCTATTCGTAATCTCAATAAGTACGAGGAAAAAAAGTTCAATACCAAATGTTTTTGACCCTAAGAATATATTTTATTTATAATATTATTATGTATACAGAGTGTTTCGTTTGACAGGATAGTAAGCAACATTTTTTTTTAATGGAATACGGTGAATATTTTTAAAAATTCGAATTATTTGCTTCATTCGGTCTATTTTTTGTCTTTACATAGCATACGAAATTTTGAGTAGATTTTGAGGAAAAAAACAGGTCCTTGGAAAATTGTATTTTTTTTAAACTTGAACATTAAAATTGGGAATTTTTATTATGGATCCATTGATGTGGTTAATATTTAATGCTCCGACCTATCTTGGCAAGAATATATTGCACAGGGTGATCACAAAGGACAAAAAAAGGTTTTCTTAGATTAAAAAAACTCAAATGTATTTAGCACTTTTATTGAGTTTGGGATTTTATTCTATATCATTGCATATATATTTATCATATATTACGAATTAGAAGTTATGGCAACAACTCGTGGATTTTATTTTAAATCTAAACGTATGTAATATTTTATTCTAAGTTTTTTTCAAAACATTAATTACTTACATAATCAACATGTAATGCAAGTAAATAGAACTTATTATTAATTACAAAACAGAAAAAAACTAAACTAACAAAACTAACCAAAACAGAATTCTTCTTACCATACTGCCATAAAATATAATTACTAAAGCTCTAAGGAGTTAATTTAAAATGTAAAATAAATGAGCAACATTTTGTTAATTTTTATCTCAAGTGGTAATGTGGTATAATGTCTTCAATCTACGGTTATTTTATGACAACCATTACGGACCATCCTGTATTTATTTTTATCTTTCTTCGACGAGCTAAAAAGGTACTTGTCGATATTATTTGAAGAGAAATGAATCTATTTATCTATCTATCTGTCCCAAGTGGATTTTCGTGGTATATCCCCAGACGATGGCAAAAATGTAGTGTTTTTCTTCTTCATGTTGATCTGCCTCGCGCTGAACAGTCAAGTAATGACGAATTTCGTAAAAGTGATGTTTAACTTTTTTTCCTTAAGTGTCGTACTTATTAAGATAAGGTTCATCTTAAATGGACCAATCTGTATAATCAAATTTGTCGAAACAGGTTTATAATTGTGAAATCCAGTTATATATTTGGCGGATGTTGCTACTGAGACTCAAGAGACGCAGAGAATACAACTAGGGCAGTCTGTTAACAGGGGTTTTTGGTTTGAGCAGCCAGGATAAAGCCGATTTAAAAATCAGTAGCGAGAGTTTCACAAGATTACTTTCAAGACGCACTAAGAGATCTGGGGTACTGCACCCTCTCAACGACATCATCATATCACATTATGAATTGTTTTATATTGACGCCTCACACTGGTAAATGTGCACC